AGGGCGCAGGAGGAGATCCGGGCTTCTGCTTCTCAGAGGGACGTGAGCTGGGCTCGTCCTTGGCAGGCACAGGAACCTGCTTGAGCTGGCAGGTGCTCTGGAAATGGAAATATTTTATCCTGCCTTATGTAATGCAGCAGCATGTCCAGAGCTGAGTCCCCTGCAATTTTCTGGCCCGCAAGGGATAATTTTCTGCTTGAAATCTTGGCCTTAGTTGTGAATTTCCTTGCTCGTGTGGTGTGTGTGTTCCATGTGATTTCTGTATACATAATAGCTGCTGTTTGAACTTCAGTAATTTAGGTAAATTTGTTTATGGCTGTTGGATGATTAAGAGCAGAAAATCTTTGTTCTTTGAGTTGTATAAATACATCCAAATACACCCTGCCCTACTGGGTAGCTATAGCAGTAGAAGGGGCTGCAGATCCTCCTCTGCATCTAATTGAAGTAGGTAGTAAATGCATACTGTGGGGTTGAAAAGTAGATAGGACTGGAATTCATATTATTGGGGTTCCTGGCTTCCTTTAGTGCCTCAGTTTCAGTTTTTATCCCTAAACGTGGAGGAGCCTCTGCAGTGTGGATTGGACTGGCTGTAGATAGTTCTGAATGACCACGCATGGCACTAAGCCTGCTCTGATTTGGGGCCAGTGGTCCCTGACCATGTCTGGTAAGCAGAACGTGCCCATGAAGCCTTCTGATACCTCCTGAGGCTGTGGGAATTGATAATCCATGAGAGGTGAGCGTGATGGGCTCAAAAGCCTCTGCAACTCAGGAGGGACCGAGATACTGCAGGAATGTAGAAAGAAGAATTTCTGTTTTGTTCTTCTAAAACAAAGGCGTTGAAACGCTCTTTTAGACATAAGAGGTTTTTGACTTTGGATGAGGGCTGCTCATGTTCCCTGAGGACGCATTATCTGGTGATCTGGTGTGCAGAGGTTGGCACACCTTGAGGTCAGCTGAGTTAGTCTTGTTCCTTTGAAGTCTTATGCCTTTCATGAGCCAAAACAACTTGGGCAAAACCATCATCGTAGACTCTGCCCTTGTCAGGCTTAGAGATGGAGAGTTATCCTCAAGCAAAGGAGTCAAGAGAGAAGCACCAGATGTTTCATCATCTAAAAACCTCATTCATACTTGTGTGTTTTGGGCAGGGACTACAAAGACTTGCTAGTGTAAAAGCTGGTGAAGGACATGCAGGCTAGAAGTTGCTTCCATGTGAAGGAGAAACAAATCACTTCAAAGCCACTAATACCTTCTGGATGGTTTCTGCCACTTATTTGTTACTCAGAGAGATTAAGCTTGGCATGGTCTCAGGTTGTGACAGGGGAGATTCAGGTTGGATGTTAGGAAAAAAATTCTCTGAAATGGTCAGGTGCTGGAATGGGCTGCCAGTGGGGTGGTGGAGTCACCGTCTCTGGAGGTGATCAGTAAATGTTCAGATGTTGTAAGGGACATGGTTTAGTGGGGAAGTATTGGTGATAGGTGGATTGTTGGACTGGATGACCTTGGAGGTCTTTTCCAGCCTCGGTGATTCTATGTTCAAAGCCAGTCAGAGCTGAGGTGCAGCCCTCTGTGCCCATCCAAGGTAATGAGTGAAAAATTGTGGCAAAAAGAAGATAATTAGTTCGGATGATAAAGAGGGCAATGGTGAACACTGTGAAGGAAACTGAAGTGGGACAGGGAAAACAATAGGTGAACAGAGCAAATTCAGGAAGAGAGCATCACGCTGAGGAATAATCTAAAATGTGTGGAAACAGTAATCCCTATTTGCTGCAGAAAAACTCCTTGCCTTATGATAGCAGATAGCAGATAGGAATGTTTCAACTCCATCAGCTGCACAATTTCATGTTTAGATGCAATGAAAAGCCCATGGCAGGGTAAAGCAGAGGGCCAGGTCCTGCTGACCATGCTTACAGAAAGGTTTCTGTAACTGTGACTCTGGGTGAAGGGATGAGGACTATTGGATCACGCTGGTTCTCCCTGCATGGGGTTGGCAGCCCACAGCTTCTGCATGTCCTTTTTTTTGGCTCTTGAGGTTGGATATCATGAAGAGTTCATTCTCACAGTGGTGAGTCAGTGGCACAGGTGCCAGTGAGGTGGTGGAGTCTCTGTGCCCAGAGGTTTTCAAGAAAAGGGTAGATGTGGCGCTGAGGGATATGGTGTGTGGGCATGGCAGGTGGTTGGACTGGAGGATCTTAGTGGTCTTTTCCAGCCTTAATGATTCTGTGATTGTTATTGGAGCTGGAGCTTGCATGTGTGAGCTTGCCCAGCGGGAGGAAGGACTGAAAGCACCTGTGCTTCATTACGGGTGGATCTGTACAGCCTTCTGGTCGAATTAGAGTTAAACCTTGCAAAATACCACAGCATTGTCTTGCCTGGGGAAATCACCTGAGCCTGGAACATGCCCTGCCATCTGCAGGCTGCGGTGCCACCGCAGGGCCACCTCTGCTGATGCTCACCCAACCCAAACACTTGTACCCCCTGTAACTGTGTGCCAGCCTTGAGCTCTCCTCCTGCTTCGTGCCACGGCAGGGCATGTCTCTGGCTCAGCTTGTGGTCACAGTGGTGGTTTAAACAGATGTACTGGGTGGGGAAGGCTGGTTGAGGTGTGGATGAACACCCCAGCCCTGATCGTCAGCTGTGGCCCCAGTGCCCTAAAGCACAACAGTGGTACAAGGCTTAGCCCTGTGCCTGCAGGAAAGAACAACAACAGCAACAACAAAAATAGGGGAAAAAAAAAGAAAGAAAAAGAATTCTACGCTTTAAAAAAAGAAAAACAAACAAAAAAAAAAATAATGTGTGATGTATTACTGAGAGTGGAGACAGGGCAGAGGTTGAGGCACAGCTTCCCTGGGGAGAGGGAGCGTTGTGTGCGACTGAGTCAGCAGGAAAGGTCACTCAGCCCAAAGGCTCCGGTTGCAAAGGAGGGGATTTCGTAAGGGAAAATGCTGCAGTGTTTTCGTGTTCAGTGCTGACAGCTTGATAGCTCAGTGTGTGCACGTAGGAACAGCAATTCTGGTAGATGGGGGGCATAGGGCAGCGATGGTCAACCCCAACTGCCCTCTGAATTTCTTCTTTGTCCTTTGCTTTCTTTCTCCCCCCCCCCAGTTCTCCCACATCCACTGCTCCCTCTTTAGTTCTGGCGTTTAATCTCTTCATCACACTGTTTGTTTTACGTCCCTGGCTTCTCTTCCAGCTCCAGTTCGGGGGTCATTATCACATATGATTAGTCTTGGAGCCTAATGAAGGGGATCAGACATAACTCTAGGGTATGTCTGAGCCACTTAGACTTTCTGAGCTCAAAGATCTGCAGAGGAAGTTTATTTTTAAGGTTCCTGAGAAGATAAATTTGAATGTTGGGTTGTTTGGGGTACAAGTAATATAAATGAAATTGCTCCAGGGTAGCAATGCCCTCTGGGATTTGAAGAATCCCAGGGATAATTATCCAGTGCTGAGTAAGTCTCAGTAGTCTTGAAATAGCTTTTAGTAGATGATCACATTTTTCTTTGTGCTGGCTGGTCTGAAAGCTGGAAGCCATATATTAGCATTTAGCCTTGATTATTAGAGGAGCATCAACACATTCTCAACACTGCATTATCTAGGAAAAGCCACACATGGAAGCACGAAACTCTTATATGAGATAACAGCCCCAGGAAACATACAAGCACATTTGGAAGCCTGCTTTTTGAGGTCCCACTGCTGGGTGTTGGAGCACGGTGAGGTCCGAGCATCCTCAGGGCTGCTCCAGCTGTGTGCCTGCACGCCAGCTCAGTGGTGACGTGGTTGTGCAGTGACTCAGCTGCCCCTCCTGACTGTCAGCCGGTGTGATGCAGATCATTAGTCACTAATTGGTGTGGTTAGCCTTTTTTTAGGCTCCTGAAGAAGCCAAGGGTCACACTAACACCATGCAGATGAATTGGTCTTTCACCTTGCCAGCCTTTGGGTCCATCAGATGATAGACAGAGGGCTGTTTTGCTGTGTTCTGTCAGGCTGACTCAACCTTGTAAGACATATGGGGCTTGTCAGAGGACAACAGTTCTCTAAGACTCTTTTTTTGCCTTCTTTTTTTCTCACCACCCTCCATCTCCTGTGCTTCCCATCTTTGGTTCCATCTTCTCATCCATAACCTCTGTGTACCAATAGATTGAGTACCACGCTCAGAAACCCAACTGACAGCTGTGGATCCATCTCTTTACCAAAGTCTTCTATGCTGTTACTGCTGAGGACAGGTGTTACTGGTCTCGACGACAGGTTTTGCCACCAACTGCAATGCCTGCATTTTCTTGAAAACCTTCTTTTCTGGCTGTGGCACCAGCAGCACCCTTTGGGTGAACCGGAGAGGAGCTGTGCATTGCTTGCTTGGCTGCAGCAAGCTCTGCATCTGTGCTTGGTCCTTTCCATGCTTTAAGCAAGCAAAGGAAGCCCTGTAGATCTTCCCCATGTAGGCAGCCCCACCCTTGTCCTGTGGCATTGCCAAAATGCCAGTGTGAGCATCCTGGCAAGGGGTTGCATAGGGATTCTTGTGGGCATGCTATGTTCCCCTTCACCTCTTGCATCTTCTTTTCCCATTTGACATTTATGCTAAGCTGTTCTCACAAAGTTTTGCTTTGGCTTTATTTTTATCCAATTTCCCAGTGCCCCCCCCAGTCCCAGCTCCACGTGCCCTAGGCTGAAGGCAGCTCTGATGACTCACAGGATGGCACGAAAGCCAGAAGCAGGCTGAAGCCATGCAGTTGGTGACGTTGCTGGAGCTGTGTGGACTCTGCCTGTGCAGTGCCACCAGCATAGGACAGGCTTGTGTCCCTTATCTGGGGAGTCTGCACGTGCTGGGGAGACCTTTGTTGTGATAGTTGGAGGAATAAAGTCCAGTGGGAAAGGAAGAGCATTTCCCTGGCAGGAAGGAGTCAAAACTCAGAGCTGTCCTGCAGCAGAGCTGCACAGCCAATGTGAGGACACCACTTCAGTCACTGCTTTGGTTCACGCTTGTCACTCTCCCTCTCTTCCAGCTGCGTAAATGAGTATGGAAGATTATGATTTCCTCTTCAAAATTGTTTTAATTGGCAACGCTGGCGTGGGGAAGACCTGCTTGGTGCGGCGCTTCACCCAGGTAAGGTTGATGTGGGAGAATGGACGTCCCCACCAGCACTGCATCTCCATGGGGGGGAGTTTGTTGTCCATGCTTGTGACCTTGTCTCACCTCTATTGAGTGCATCAGTACTTGGTGCTGTACGTGGTCCTGCTGGGGCTTTTGCTATAAGGACCTTCTGGTGCTCTCTGTATGGACTTTTCATTCTCATCCCTCTAGGGTAGGCCAAGCTGCTGCTGCACAGAGCTGTCCCTAGCATTGTTCATCAGTAGGAGATTAATTAATTTGGTTCCTGGGCTATCAGCCCAGGGGCTTCTGTTAACATCAGATCCCCTTTAGGGTTTACACCTGAAGAGTTAATGGGGGCACTGAATGAATTGAAGCAGTGTGAAATGGCGCTGGCAGCAAAATGAGACCTTGTGGCAAAAATCTGTGCTCCCTATATTTGTGGCTTTACATATAGCAGCTCCCAAAAATCTTTTATTAACAGCAGAGGCTGGTGAGGCAATATCTGCCTGGTTGCTGACAGTGAGTCAAATGCAAAGCTCTGAGAACTGCCTTTGCTTTTTTTGTGACAGAATAGCAGGGAAGGAACCAGGCATCTGTAATTTGGACTCAGAGTTTGCATGATGTGCTATAAAATGCAAGTTATGTTTGCTTTTTTTTTAATTTGTGCTAAACCTAATGATGTTAAACATACTCTCTGGTTGCCTGTACTAGCTGATGGCAATGAAGCTGCTCAGATCAGAAGGGTTAACTGCAAAATCTGCTGCTGCTATTCCTTGCACCTTGGCAGTGTTGCTGCTGCTGTAGGGAATGGCTGTGCCCCAAAACCAACACAGCTTTGCAGGCTGGGACACCAGAAATCAAAAAGCTCTGCTGAGTTCTTTTTGGTTGGCTGTACTCCTCCCTTCTGGAAGCTGAGAACTTCCAGCTGCAGGCTGTGCTCCGGGAGCAGGATCCAGCTGCTCAGGAGCTGCTGAGGGTGCCCTGGGCACTTTTCTTCAGGTTCCCATTTCTTTCAAGGCAAAGAAAGATTGGATCAGAGAGCCCTTCCCTTGCTTCTGTGCATTTAGAAGAGGCAGAAGGTATTTTCCCCTCTCCTTTTCCCTTTGTGCATTATTGAGTAATAGAATACCCCGAGTTGAAAGGGACCCACAAGGGACTGCAACTCCTGGCTCCACACAGGACCACCCAAAATTCAAAGCTGGGGAAATGTCATTGTTTAACTTCCCATAAGAGGTGGCAGTAAATTTTGTGGCTTCACCCAGTGGGTGCAGCGGGGATGGGTCAGCGTGCAGAGCTCTCTGGACCCAGTCCCCACTACCTGGAGCAGCAGAGAAAGCAGTCACACCTTTCAGTGCAGCTCCTTCAGGGGCGTTCTATTTAAATGATAGAAATAAGTGTCTGGGGAACTGGGCAGGGGAGGAGCAGGGATGGGGACACGCAGAGGGAGTCTTGCCTTGCTACAGAACTTGTTTAACAAAACTTTTCTTTCAGGGGCTTTTCCCACCAGGCCAAGGAGCCACGATTGGGGTTGACTTTATGATTAAAACTGTGGAGATAAATGGTGAAAAAGTAAAGGTAGGAACATGATGGCTTTCATTATAAACTCATATGGTGACACGATAGTTTGGCTTTCTTGCTTCAGCCCTCCTGCTGGATCTTAACAGTGGATCTCAGGATCTTCACAGTGAACGTGCTGTAAGGAAGAACATGGAAAGGGGAGATCTTGCAAAACTTGTCTCCCACTTCTCTTGAGTTACAGACCTAAGAGGATTGATGAGATCACAGTACTGGTGCTTTGCTCAACAGGTTGAAGTGAGCTCTTTTACTCTCCAGAATGGGGTGTTTGCAACCAAATCATCAGCTTGTCCTCTGCTACCTTCAGAAACTAGCCAGGGTATCATTTGACAAGGAGATGGGTGAAAACACACTGGGATCCAAGCTAATTCTTTACTGGGAGCTGCGGTTCAATTCCAATGCCCAAAGGCACTGACTGGTGCTTCTTAAGTCATTTGAGATTTCACCAGAGCTGTTGTGGTGTTCCAGACCTGTGAGAAGAGTATGAACTTCCTATGTCACAGAATCACAAGGTGGCCGGAGTCCCTGAGCTGCTCCTGGAATTATTTTTCCTGTGTTAAATACCTGCCCATGAGTATTGAGGTGAAGAACACCATTTTTTTTCCCTTGCTGCCTTCGTCTTATCTAATGGTGGGAGAGTGGGAGAGTGGCAGCAGTGTGACAGTGGCTGGATGTGAGAATGAGACCTATCTTCAAGCTTGTGGAAGTGGTGGGATGAAAACAATGGATTTAGGCAACTTTTCAGTCCTGCAAATTTTTCCACCTGTGTTTTAGTGCAGTGTTTTGGTGTTGGTTTTTTTTCTTAGTAGAAGGTCAGGTGGAAGTCAGCTTTTAAAAGCACTTTGCTGCTTGAGTAGCTGTACAAAGTTATGGCAAGTGATGATCCTTGACCAAGAGACCTTCCAGCCTGAGGAGGTGGAGGATATCATCTAGTCCAACCCCTGCCTAAGCAGGCTCTCTAGAGTAGGTTACAAGAAATGGAGTTCATTTTTACCTTACCTACCTGCCATAATCCAGCTGTCTTGAGACTCCTGGTCAATGGAGGGAGAAAGGCAGTCTTGGAGGAAGGCTTTCCCATCTGCTGCAGGCACCATCCTTTCCTGGTTGCCTCCCTGCTGCCATCTGTGTGTCCTGCTGGGTGCAGATGGAGCCCCAACAGCTTTGCTTCTGTCTGAGGTCCAGGTTTTGAATGGCTGAAGTTAGTGGAAGTCAGCAACATTGAGTCTTGCTGAAAGGCAGGAGGACTCCTGTTTGCCTCTTGCATTAGTGTAGGCAGGGAGGTGAACTTGTAGATGAGGTTTTCTGAGTAAGCACTACTAGTAAGAATCAACATTTAATGAGTGGGAAAAGCAGGGATGACTCACAGCATGGAGTGGAAGAAGTGACATCTCAGTGCAGCGAGGCACTTCTGTGAGCTCGTGGAGCTGTGCCCAAGCCATGAGTGCCTCTGTGCCAGGCAGCATCTCCTGCAAAGCCACTGAGATCCAGAGCCATGCACCAAGAAGGTTTTCAGACTTACAAAGAAATTTCTGGGAAAAATACTCTCTAGCTTTTAAAATTACATTGTAAAGTTGGTGGAGAGACACATTTCATATGGGAGGCTGGTAGATACCCCAGGACAACACTCTGCAGTTTAGGGGTTTTTCATCTATCTGATCATTTCTGACAGAACTAAACACACGTGCAGTGTGTGCTCTGAGAGGCTACACAACTGTGATAGTAATTACAGTGCCAGTCACCAATAAGCATCCTCACCACTACAAACACAAGGCTCTGCTGAGTGCACCTGTGTTCTTACTGCACTTTCCTATGCTTTTCCAAGCTCAGTGCACGTGCAAAATGCTGGGGCAGAGGGGAGCATCAGCTGCCTCTCAGGAAATGAACATCCAGGTAACTTTTCTGCAGGTGGAGTCAGCCCTGGCCAACAAGAAACCATCTGCCACTTTTGATTTCCAGTGTTACATTAAAGCAGTATGGTCAAGCCTTTATCTGCTCACAGACCTTCACATTGAGTGCAAAGCATTTATCTACTAAGGGTAACCACTAGGCCAATCTGTAGGTATTTTTCCTTGGAAATAACTGGACAAGAACTGCAACAAAGTTGTCAGTACTTTTTCCATCTGTGGAGTTAGGAGGCTGGTTTGTTTTGAAGGGAACTCGTTGGCTCTGCCAAGAGATTAAGCACAAGGCTGCCAGGAGCTGTAAGCCAGCAACAAATTCCTTTCTCTGCAAAAATGTACTTTTTCAAAATCATACCCCACATCTGAAAGCTGCTAATGGGGGCTCTTGTTTCAAGCTAATGTATTTGTGATGAGTAGCTGACATAGTTTGACTTTGGAACTGGGCTAGAATAAGGCTTCCTCTGTTGTGGGCTGCTGAATATATGGAAAAAATTTCAACTACTTTTAACTTTTTCTTCCCAAAGCACATAGGGTTCTGGCTGGAAATCAGCCTTTCACATATTTAATTCCGAAGAGGGGTGCTTAAAAAGTAGAAACTGAAGCAGAGCAATGTGCTTTCATGCAGATATGTGTTCATTTTGATTGCTTTTCTTTGCTGCCTTTTTGAAAAGTTGTGGCTTTGGTGACAAACCAAAAGCTGTCAGAGGGTCAAGTTATGAAAATGGTCTGAATTCGATTCATACTGGGAAATGAATGTTGTTTTTCAGGACCTGGAGGGCTTGCCAAGCAGTGGTTCAACTCATGACCTGAGCTGTAGTTAGGGATCACACTGATCACGTTGGGAAGGAAGGCAGCCAGCAATGGGGTGGGACCTCTGAAGAAAATGTGTTGGAGTCCCTGGATGAGCCTGCAAATCTGAGCTGGTGGTTTCCACCCTCCAATGCATCATCTCGGGATAAATCACTGAGTCTCAAAGCTCAAGGAGAGGCTTTCCTGTCGTTGCTGGGACAGACCCTGCTGTGGGTTGGACCACAGAGCAGGAGGAGACTTTTGCCTGCATCACATAGGCCAGCATCTCTGTCCCCACGAAAGCCCTGTGAGCGCTGTGGGGAAGTCGGCAGCAACGCCAGCTGACTTTGTGCCTTGCATTTCAATCTGCAAAGGCAGAAATGGAAACAAAAAAGAAGGGCTGGGGGATGGGAAGCCAAAGGGGAGAAGAGCAAAGCACTTTCTCAGCAGTGGCTGTACCCTGAAGGCGTTTAGGTCAAAACAGCACTGCTAACAAAAAAATAACCAAAAAAAAACAACAAAAAAACCCACCACGCCTTTAAATGATGTTTTTTCTCCTCTCCCCCTCGTTGTACCAAAAGCTGCAGATCTGGGACACGGCAGGACAAGAGCGATTCCGCTCCATAACGCAGAGCTACTACCGCAGCGCCAACGCCTTGATACTCACCTACGACATCACCTGCGAGGAGTCCTTCCGCTGCCTCCCCGAGTGGCTGCGGGAAATCGAGCAGTACGCCAGCAACAAGGTCATCACTGTGCTAGTGGGTAAGTGGCCCGGAAGGGGGGTGAGCTGCCTCCTGGGGTGCCTGGTGACAAAGAAGTGGCGTCTGCTTGATGTGGTGATGCTTGAAGTGATGCGGCGGGTCTTGTTGCCATGCAGAGCTGTACGCACAGTGAGTTTGTTTGGGTCATTCCTCCTGCAGATGACCCCGAGGTGCTGATGGAGTTGGTCTGGACTCTACAGCTGTTTGTCAAAGCATAGAATCATAGAATCATTAAAGTTGGAAAAGACCTCTAAAAGATCATCTAGTTCAGCTGTCGACCCATCCCCACCATGCCCACTAACCGTGTCCCTCAGTGCCACATCTCCATGGCTCTTGAACAACTCTAGGTGACTCAACCACCTCCCTGGGCAGCCTGTGCCAATGAGTTACCACTTTCTGAGAAGAAGCTTTTCCTAATGTCCTATCAGAACTTCCCCTGGGGCAACTTAAGGCCATTCCTTCTTGTCCTGTCACTATTACCTGGAACAAGAGGGCAACCCCTACCTTGCCACAGCCTCCTTTCAGGTCCCCCCTGAGCCTTCTCTTCTCCAGACTGAACAATCTCAGTTCCCTCAGCCACTCCCAGTAAGACTTGTGCTCCAGATCCTTCACCATCTTTGTTGCCTTTCTCTGGATGTCCTGTCTCAAGCCTAATGCTACTTCATGCAGAGGTGGATAGTTCCCATGGATTGATCCCATAAAGCACTGAAACATTGGTTGTGCAGCTCTACAGAGCTAAGAATGGGAACTTATTCCTTGTGACTCCCAGGCCAGATCTCTCCGTGTAATTGGGGATCTGCTCAAGCTGGGGATGTGTGCAGGCTGATACTCCCCATAGCTGTGGACAGCAGAGTCTTGGCTCAAATGTGGGAACCAGCTCAGGGTGCAATAGCAATCTTAGCATTCGTGGATGAAGCAGAGATGGAAAAATGGGTATTTTTGCATGGATTTTAGGGAACCTAAAAATAAATAGTGAATGTCATGTTAATCTATAGCAGCTTCAGCTCAAGCTGAAACAGACCTCAGGCCATCTGTCTGCTACAAGCAAGGTGAAAGTTATTTTGCTTACCCATGCTTCTCCTTGGTCCGCTTTTATATACTTGGTAGTCCAAGACTTGACTTTTAAAGGCCCAAGATTATATACAGAGAAATAGAAATGTAACTTGGAGAAAGCCAGAAAGTTTCATCCTGCAATGCCATTATTTCCTTAGTGGTTTGCTGTTTACAAGAAAAATCTAGAGCGTTATAAAATACGTTCAATATGTCTTTAAAGATCTTTTGAATTTTATATGCCCTGATAGTATTGCAAGTGAGCCTTGGGATTTAAGGAGCTTCCATGCAAGAAACTCATTACACTCCATAAAAGAGTATGGCTCGTGTACAAATGGCACAGAAATAATTAATGACTAGCAAATGTATACATTAATTTTTAGGGAACATTAAGTTAATTATCTGTATCTGCTGTATGAAATATAAATGATGAGTGCCATAGCACCCACTTTGAAGGTGGTAACACCCATGAACTGCTTTGAGTGATAATTTGTTTAGAACTTGTAACTTCAGTGTATAGAGTGGGCCCAAGACTTCTTTGGTCAGAAAAGAAGAGGGATGTTGGATGGAAGGAAGGCAATGGGAGGTGGCTTGCCAGTGGAAATGCAGCCATCTCCCATGGGCTCATGCCTGCTCCAGAACAAGGCTGGGAGAAATTTCCTCCTGAACCTGCAGAGTAACTGGACACGGCCCCCTGCTATCCTGTGTTTTGTTATCTTCCTTGTAAGATTAATTTATGGCCCAAGGATTGTGTTCGAAGTGAAGTGGTCAGTAACAAGCTATAATCATATCAGATCTGTATTGGAGACGTTAATCAATCCCTTGATAAAATGAGCTCTGGAGGAAGGAGCTGGTTCTGTGCCCTACCTTGCTCCGTGAGCCCCTCAAGCCCATCCATGCTCCAAGCCAGACTGCTCACAGGTATATTTAATTAAACTAGGAGAGCACCTTCTGCACCAGACTCCCTTAAAGCTTGTAATGACATGAGGAGTATCACACTTAATGTCTCACATGCTGTAATTGACAGTTTAAGTGCTCCTCAGAGCCAGAACAGGAGAATTTTCAATAGATATTAAAATGGAAGTCCTTTAATGTCCTCTTTAATGTTGATAGCAGCAAACAAATGCACTGGTGCTAAATTAAAGCTGACTGACTTGGATGTTCACAGGGCATGTTCCATTAGGTGAGTTGATATTGAATGAACCCAGACCGTGAGTTGGGGAACCAATTATTTGAAAGGGAAAACACTGAAAGTTTCACATCAAAAGCACTGTCCATGCATATGGAATTATTGAATTGTTTGAGTTGGAAGAGGTCCTTAAAGGTCATCTAGTCCAACTTGCCTGCAATGAACAGGGATACCACAGCTGCATCAGTGCTCAGAGCCCGGTCCAGACTGACTTTGAGTGTCTCCACAGATGGGGCATCCACCACCTCTCAGGGCAACCTGTGTCGGTGCCTCACCACTCTTATTGTAAGAGCTTTTTTCTTATATCCGGTATAAATCTCCCCTCTTTAAGTGTGAAGCCATTTCCCCTTGTCCTGTTGCAACAGACGCTGCTACAGAGCCTGTCCCATTTTTTCTTACAGACCCTTGTTAGATACTGAAAGGAAATCGGTACAGCACCAAACTTTTCCTTATCCCAAACTTCTGTTTATTTTGTTTTGAAAGTCAAATTAATTTCCTCTCTACAATCTTCTACCTGTGCAGGTAATAAGATTGATTTAGCTGATAAGAGGGAAGTCTCCCAGCAGAGAGCAGCGGAATTCTCCGAGGCACAGGACATGTACTATCTGGAAACCTCAGCAAAAGAATCGGATAATGTGGAAAAACTCTTCCTGGACTTAGCCTGCCGGCTGATCAGAGAGGCACGGCAGAACACCCTGGTGAACAATGTCTCATCCCCCTTACCAGGAGAGGGGAAAAGTATCAGCTATTTGACTTGCTGTAATTTTAATTAAAGAGCTGGCATGTGATTCCCCATCCGCCATGGGCCCTGAAGATTTTTCACTGGGATTTGTCTCCTCAGAGGGAATTCCGCCTTGACCCATCTGACTTCCTCGCAGTCAGGTCGCAGACCTAGAAGCATGGCAGGCTGACAGCTCCAGCTGCATGGCAACGTAGCAGAATATAACGTGGTTCACATTTAATTTTTCTTGCAGTCTCTGGAGTGGGTTAGGAGAAAGGAGAGTTGCACAAGAGCTTCATGTGATGCAGAAAATGAGCTATCGCGTTTCCTTCTGGGGGAGATAAGAGCAACCTCTCTTGGGGAAGATTTGGAAGAGGTCAAAATCTCTCTTACAGAACAATGTGTTCGTTCCTTTTTAAAAGAAGAAAAAAACCAACCATGAGCACTGACCCAGGACTACGCTGGCAATCATCCAGGCTGCCAGCTGAGTGAATTCTTGGGACGTGTATATAGCGTCTTTGTGGAGGAAGGTGTTTGAAATAGTGTTATGTCTCTCATCTACAGGCACTTTCATGAACATGGAATAATAATAATAAAAAAAAAAGTTATATATCTCAACATTTCCAAACAACAGTTTGAGAAGGCATGGATACAGCTCAGTTGCTCCCTTTGGTGCTAGCAGTTCAGCAGATATTCCATAGACCAAATGTAGTTTTACTACATTGCTGTCCTCTGAATGTGTAACCTAGACTGATTAAGAAAAGAACACTAATAAGCACTGTTCATTAAAATCTCATTACCTCTTTTTCTAGGCCTGAACATAGCGAGAAACGACTGTGCTTCTTTGATACCCACTGCAGTATGAAAAGACTTCCTGGAAATATAATAAACATGTAACTAAGAAAACGTCCCTCCTCTAATCAGTTATGTTCAAAAGTGAAAAATGCCTTGGGAGATGTTACTGGTGGAACAGAAGAAGTGCACCAGACATGACCAAAATGTTTTGCGCGTGCTGATTGTGCAGAAGGGTTCAAAGAGAGCACAGTTCATGTGGCAGCCTGCAATATGTCTGGGTTAAAAATAAAGCTTGTAGATAAAGTTCCTGCTGGAAAGGCAGGTGTATGATTTTGTAGAGAATTTTTTTTTTTAATGCTAAATGGAAATAGCAGCAGGTTACAAGTGGCATCGTTCTGTGTCTGACCCATCTGGCGATCACCTTATGGAACTGTTCTCTGAGAAGCTCTGGAAGGTATCTTCTTGACCTCTCCTCTCTGCTAGAGTAGCTTTCACATTCAGGGCTGTAGAGTCATTTAATTTACTTGATGTTTAGTGCTCTTTATCTCAGACTCCAGCATATGTGTAACTATTTAGGCAGTTTCTATCTACAAAGCCCCTGAAGTGGAAGCATTGTGGAATCTGTATTACACCTCGAGTGCCATATGCGAATGATGCAAATTTACACACTGACCTTGAAGCAACATTGGAATATAATGAATGTGCACATGGAAGATGATTTTTAGAAGTTTGAGTTCAGTTTAGCTGATCCAGGTATTATCTCTCCGGACAATTACATGGCTGTGATATGCTGTAATTTAAAGTTAATCACCTTAATATCATTTGGCATTTACTGAAGACTATAACAGAGCTTTTGTACTGACGTAAAAGCTGCCAGTAAGTTCCTCTTGAAAATAATAATAAAAAAAAGAGAAGTAGCATTTAAAAATGCTTTTTTACATTTTCCTGAAAAGATTTCTTTGGGTTGTATCATGGTGTGCCTTTGATCAGTAATGGTGATACATGTATTTGAGAGAGAGGGGATAGTTGCATCATATGGCCATTTAAAATATTTTCTTGCTAATTTTACATCACTTTCTTCTTTTGTGATTAGTGCTAAAAATGAAGAAGTAGAAATTGTGGTACAAATTTTGCTTGTTATTGAGGTAAGACTTTGCAAAGTGCTGCTGCAGTCATTAGATGTTGGGGAAGTATGACTGATGCACTGGCCTGCACCAGTCCTTTTTGGTCTCTGCTCATGATGTCATCCAGAGGATTTAGAAAGGTGTGGGACTTCATGGCTTCTGCTCTTCTGAGTTGTGTGGTACAGCTTACAAGAGCACTGTCTTTCTTAAGCATTCCCCAGATTGCCAAACACAGCCTGATTTGAGCTTGTTCAGACCACCCAACACCAAAACAGCTGCTTCTGTTTATAGCAAGACTCAGGGTGTTACAGGTAAGGTAACACTCGAGTTAAAAATCAATATTACATTTAATTTCTAAAAGCTTTTACTCTCCAGATGCTGGGCTTGATAGCATATAATTGAGAAGAAGGGCAGGGCTCTTTGGTCAAGTGAATTGAGGAGGAAGGAGTCTACCTGCTGAAATATTGGTTGGTTCCTCAGCCTGGCTCCCAAAACCATCAAAGCTGGGCAGGTAAATCTTGTTGAATATCAGTATCAGTGCATTTTCAAATGCTCCTTGCATCATTTCTGGAAGTTGTACTCTAACACATCATCATGACTGAATGAATCAAACAGCAGAAGTTGCTAACGTTATTTTCTTGAGAATTCTCTTGGAGGTTTCCAGAAGGCAGAGTCTCTTTTCCAGTCCTTTCCTAACTTGTAGGTGGCTATTTTGGAGGCTAGCTACCTAACTCCAAGCATTGGTTCTTATTGCTGGCAAATCTTTGTGCAAGACCTCCAGCTCCAGACAGCAATGTGCACTTCCAGAGATGTGTAGTTTTTGTGGTAGGGCCAATGTTGCATCTGACTTCTCCAGGGACAAATCTGAAGTGATTCCTTTCAAAGTTAATTCTATGTAGACTGTTAAGAAATTGAAAGGAAGCAAGGGTGGTATGTTTGATTTTACAAGGTAATAAGCCAAAGCTGTAGCTTGAAACATGTTTTTTTTTTGTTTTTTTTTTCTGCAGTTAACAACACAGTACTGGTTCAAGAGGCGATGTTTTATTGCAGCAGCTCCTCTGCAGGAGTAATTTTTCTCTACCTTCTAATATCCCTCTGGGACATAAAACCCATCTTTCCACCTAGCACTGAGGACTTACCTTCAAATCTGGTCCTCCGCTGAAGGCTCTGCAATCAGAAGAGGAGCTTTTTCAACAGATAATAACAACATATGTTGTAGCAGATTGATCAGAGAGTTGAAAAATTAAAGGAGATCTAAGAATACAAATCCCAGTTATCTGACAATCATCTCTCCAACTCTGACCAGCACCTAGCTGGATGACTGGGTTTTTGAGAGAGCTGACAGTAAGAGCTTTGTGATGCTCCATGGGTTGAGTGTCCAAAACCCATACAGAATCAGTGTGATGGGCCAAATTTGACTGGACATGTTCTCCACTATCAAGAGAGCATGGCATTGCTTTTGGCATAGCTACTAGGTTTTTGATGCTTTTTCAGAATGATACTCTCACACTCATGGTGTAATCTTCTTAGTTCTGGGTGAAAAATGGGTATTTATAGTAGTCCCCTAATTAAACCTTTTCTTTAAATGTTTTAGCACATTGAATAGCTCCAATCAGAAGCCAATGTTGAATGGCCAATAGGTTTTTGTTTGCTCTTTAGCAAACCTGTTTGGAGAGGTTTCTAAAAGCATCTCCTGAAAACTAGATGGTCTAAGCTCTGTTATCCCGTTCAGCTGTTGATTCCATCAGGATGATGTTGGGTAAACCACTGAGTGTTCTGTGCTTCTGCTCACTCTTTGTGAGGTATACTTCCATCATTATTTTTCCTTAGGCATTTACTGTAATGTGCTGGGAGAAGCCATGATTCCCCTCTGTTCTTACTCAAGTTCCCCACGAGAGAGCGAGTGCTGGGAAAAAAACAACCAATGTCTTATCTGCCCTTCAGGAAAAAGTGTTTTGGTGGAAAAAATGGAATTATTGGGTCTCTCTTCCTACCTCACATCTCACTTTGATGCACAGGTAAGTCGCTTGAGCTGCAGTGGGATACGTGTTTGTGCTGAATGCTAAATGGCTTTGTGATCATTACTTAATGAAAACCACATGTAATGAGACAAGACGCTTTGTTCTTTGCTGTAGAATGCGTGAAACAGCCCTGACAATCTGCAAGCCTGCTGGTGCTGTTTGTCTTTTTGAAATAGCTGTATCAGTAACAGTGGGCTCCTGCTAGTCTACATTTAGTGGCTAATGGCTATTGAATTCCTTCGGCATCGGTAATAATAGCTGCAGGCAGAGGTTGACACAGCAGACAGTGATTTGAAAAGAGGGAAAGTCGAAATTAGTGATGCAGAAGCATTGTGGGTGTACACAAGTGGGACGACATGCTTTCCCCAGCTTTTGCTGGCAAGGGCTGCAATTAGTTATAGTCAAATCCACTGAGTTTTGCGTTGTTCCTCATCCCAAAGGACTCCTGTTTGTTCAGCTGCTTTTCCACTTGTCCTGTCTTTCCAGCATGAAGAACTGTCTGTAAGTCATGCTAAGACGTTGAGCTGATGTAATTTTTGTAGTTGGAGATTGAATTCACTTGGGAAACAGGTGAAATTCTCTAGCTGTTAAAATAGGCTGAGCAAACACATGGGATGCACAGTCTTTTGGAGATGCCATCGTGGCCCGGCAGGACAGGAGATGCTGACATAGAGAAAACCTCTCCTGGATGTGGGGCATGCTGGGAAAGAGCTGTGTAGAGCTCAAAATGCAAGGTGAAGAGATGGTCCTCCTCTTGAGATTTCCTCAGTCCAGTCCTCTTTAAAAATGCAGTTGTGACTTAGATTTTGATTGCTCTGGATTTTAATAAGGGATGCTTTGAATTTGAGTCTTACCTGAGATTCTTCTGCCTTGTTGCTTCCAGTATCCAAGAACCCAATACTCTTGTACCCCGTGCTCCCCCCAGTGTCTATCAACTGGAAGACCTTTTTGAGTTTAAGAGTAAAAGATAGTTTGTATTGCTGGTGAGCACACGTGGAAACTCATAAATATTGGTATTGGTAAGGGCTCGCCAGAAAACACATTGGAGCCAAAGAAAATACTCACTTCTAGTATCATAGAATGGCTTAGGTTGGAAGGGACCCATCCAGTTCCAACTCTGGGCTGTGGGCACGTTGCCACCTACCCTCCAACCTGTTCTTGGGCACCTCCAGGGATGGGGCACCCACAGCTTCTCTGGGCTGCCTGTGCCAGGGCCTCACTGCCCTGTGAGTAAGAATTTCTTCCTGACATCTAATTTAAATGTCCCTTTTTTGGCTTAATGCCATTCCCCCTTCTTCTAACACTATCGAAGTGTAAGGCCAGTGAAAGATGTAATGTCAAAATCTGGCTCTGAAGCCACCCTCTCTTTCCTTGTACCAGATATGTCCTCTTGTTGATGTGAGTAGTAGTTGTTCTAGTTGCTGTTCACAAAGAAAGGATTGACATTTTGAAGGACAGAGCTGTTTTCTGATGGCACTGAGCAGTGGGGAGCCGCTTGCTTGGCTTCCCACAAGTGACCAGAGCATCCAAAGGAAAGCAGCCCAAAGGGAACCAGACTTTGAAATGCAATCACCCATTTGAATTGTAGCTAAATGTCCCATAAAGGTTACAGATCTCCCATCTGCCTCCTTTTAGGATTTATTTTGGCCGGGAAAACAGACAGCAGGGCCTGCTGCCTTGCTCTGACTTACCTCGCTCACAAGCTGAAAGGACCCAAAGCCTCCTGCTGCCAGGCATGCTATATCTGGCTGAGATGGATGGCCGGCTGTCATCACCCAGGGATGCGATCACACCCTTTCCCCTCTTGTGAATGAGCTGTAACTTAAACCAGGAGTAAAAAGTATGCAGAGTTAAGGGTGCTGAGTTTTTTTCCTCCAAACTGGGAGTCATGGATCCAGATCTTATCATGCCCTTCCAAGTATGGAGGAGGTAACGGGGGAAGGATAACACAGATATAGCTGAAAATGAGATGACAGTGACTAAGTTGTATTGGAAATTTAGCTGGAAATCAGCACCCAGATCAAGCTGTGGGCGTCCCTGTTTGTTGCAGGGGAGTTGGACTAGATGGCTTTTAAGGGTCTCTTCCAACTCAAACTATTCTGTGATTCAATGAAATGTCAGTAATGGGTTATTCTGGTTTTAGGAGTATAGCAAGGGTTAAAAGCTCAGCTCTCCTGGCCATGGATAAACAAGAGCTGGCTGTGCTGTACTCGGGTTGTTTTCACATTAATATCAAGCTATTAGCACTTCCTGGATGTGATCGTGTCCTTTGAAGCCATTCTCCTTTTCCAGCAAGTTCAGAAGATAATTTTAGCCCTGATTAGTGCTATAATTAAATAACTGAGTCCCAGGCAGAGGCAGCAGGTGCCACCCATGCCACTGCTTTTTCCACCACTCCTCACGGGGGAACGTTCCCGAGGATGTGTGTGTTTGTGAGCACACCGCAGTGTTGTTCTGCAGAGCATCTCCTGGAGCCCAGCCTGCTTCGCTTCTGCTTGTTTTCTTCCTTGGCTGTTTCCTAATGTTTGTGACTGTCCCCTCTGTGCTGTGTGGCCTCACCGCCACCGCTGCACCACAACATAAGGACATGAAACATTCACCAAGGGCTACGGTGATGGGGAAGGGTCTGAGGGCAAGGTGTGTGAGGAGCAGCTGAGGTCCGTGGTGTGCTCAGCCCACAGCAGAGGGGCTGAGGGGAGGCCTGATGGCGGCTGCAGCTCCTCACAGGGAGCGGAGGGCAGCTGGGCTCTGCTCTGTGTGACAGCAACAGGGCCCGAGGGAACGGCATGGAGCTGTGACAGGGGAGGGGCGGGTGGGGGTGAAAGAAAGGGTCTGCATCAGAGGACAGTGGGCATGGAGCTGCTGGAGCTCAGGGAGCATTGCACAGTGCTGTCAGAAATTGGGTTTGGATATTGGGTGGTCCTGCACGGAGCCAGCAGTTGGGCTTCATGATCCGTGTGCGGCCCTCTCGGGATGTTTCATTTCTCTAAACTACTCTTACCCTTTCAGAGGATGTGATCAAGGGCTCTGGTGTCACATGAATGTAAACGTAGCGCTGGAGAGAAAAACAGCTCCTTAAGCCAACATTCTGGGGGAGAAAAGGCCACCTAATGAAAGCAGGGAGAAGATCTGGTGCTTGTTGCTGTGCTGGCTTTGAGCCTCTCTCACTCTCTGGATTCTAGAGAAATAGTTTGAAATGTGCAGTTTTCAGCATAATGAGATGCGCCGCAGCTATGTCACATCCCTTTCATTCCCCACAGCTGTTTACAAAAGAAAAACAAATAACTCAGCCTGCTGGGATGGGAGCAGCTGCAGTCACTCAGCTGTCAGTGCAGGACGGGCCTCTTTCTGCTCCGCTTTTATTCCCACTTCACTCTGTTCTGCTGCGCACATTCGGCTCTTCTGTGAATTTGCAGATGATGAGGGTTTTTTCCCCAGCTGCCTTTGATCTGTACAGAAAGACTCACCCAGATCTGCTTTGAATCCATTAATATGTTGAGTAGGCATTTTAATTTTCTGTTTCCTGGCTTGTTTCCCTTTGTCATGTTACCGAACTGACAAGTTCTCTGTACTCTGCCTCACGTTTGGCTTTTTAAGTCTAAAACGTTTTTCCTTTCCTGAAAAGCTCTGATAATTCTTAGCGATCTTATCAAGGTGTTTTCACTTCCACAAAAGAAAAACTGAATTGCTCTCAGTGTTGATTACTACCAAATCAATCCTGGAGCACGTAATTCTTTTTACACCGTGAACAAAGTACATTTTACACCATCATCTGCAGCTTGAATTGTAGTTTAGAAGCCTGCTGAAGCCCTAAAAGCTGCATTTTGTTTGCAGCTTCCATGCCAGTGAAATCACAGCATTAAAGGAATTTCCTGGGCTGGAGCTTTTCCCACACATTTGGCTGTCTTGCAAAGACCCGCTGTCTTTTCCCCCAGTAATTGTGAATTTAGCACAATGTACAGAATTTTAGCAAGAACCCTGATTGCTCAAATGCCCTGAACATGTGGCCAGGAGGATGAGGAGCGGACACGCTTCTTGCTGATCAAGCACAACCATTTCAGTAGAGAGAATGAGCTGCTCTCAGTCAGGCCCTTGATGTTGGGTGGCTGGGACAGCACGGCCTTTGGGGAGGGGAGGTGTTAGAGGTCACCAAACTGGGAATAGTGGCCTGTCGGAAGCATTGGACCTGTCCATTTATTTCCAAGTTCCCGTTGTCAAGTGTGGTACAGTGGGGTTGAGAAAGGAATGTATTTTGGATGACTATGATGATGAATGTATGATGCTTCATGTTTATTTGTAATGTCCTTTTTATACTTAGAAATCGCTGATATCTGTATCTGTATGTAAATAAATGTTTAATCCTTTCCAGCTGGTGTTTAAAGTGTCTGATTTGATTGATTTTGGTTAGCTTTGATCTGCAAAGTTGCTTTTAACATAGATACGAGACAAAGTGATTCCCTTTAGGACGTGATTCAATTCAGATCTACAACCGCTGAGGATTCTGCTCGAGTTCAGCACCCCACACTCCCAGCAAGGGCAGAGGTACAGCTGTCATCCATGGGAGTGATGTCCCTTTGCACTAAAGCAGCAGAAAGGAATCTGTTTACAATCAGAGCGTTTACAGCGGCATTGGAAACACCAAAGAAATGCCCATCGCAGTCACTAGAGGGTGGTGTTCGGCAGAGGGAGCATCCATACCCGAAGTCATTGCAAACAGGCTGCTGCTCCAACTCCTGGGATGGCATGGATGGTGGCCACGTTTGAGCTGGCTTATGTTCTTTGTTCGGTTTATAATGCTGGTTCTTCAGCCCTCACCTTGCTCTTTTCATGCCCACAGCTGGACTTCCCTCATTATCGGCCTTTTTTGGGTGGAGAGAACCCCCCACTGAGCACACCTTCCACGTTAAGCCTTCAGCCTTTTGGTCAACATGTAAGGTTTGCATTCAGACTCATCCTGAGGATCAGATGTTTCCCTTCTGCTTGCACTTGCACTGAGAAATGAGCTGTGAAGCTTGAAGCCACCATGTGTCTTTCTTTTATTGCCTCTTCCACTGACTTTGAAGGTCTTTTCCTTAGGAAATGGCCGGCATGAGTGCTGGGCCATCTGCTCCGAGTTTCGCAAGGAAGCAATAAAACAGGAAAAGGTATTTGGAGAGAGAAAAGTTGCTGCAAGCTTCTAGGTATGAACTGGAAATGCAGGAGGAATACAAAGGCTTCCAACAACAAGAGAACAACCTGCACAGGGGCAGAAATGCTCTGTCTTCATGCATGTAGATCCTTCGTCCAGAGCACCTCTGCCCAGGGTCTGACACACAGTGGGATTTTTTGGCCTCACTGGTGTGCAGCCTTCCTGCATAAAACAGAAGGCTCTGACAGCTCTGCATTCATTTCAGTGGTATCTTAGAAACAGTTCTATCTGAAAATCTAGTCTTGATTTATGGCTTTCTAATCTTAGGGAATCAACCATGGACTTGGTGGGTATTTTTTCACTTTTATTGCCTTCAGAGTTAAACATGCTGTATTTCACTTCCCCCCGTCAATTAAATCAAATCAGCTTGTACCAATGCTGCTGCTTACTGTAATATGGGGATATCTTTACCACTGAAGAAACAAAGTCATGCTGGGTGAAACATTTCATGCCAAGGCACTGTCAGTACACAAAGCAGAAGTTCTGGCAGTGATTTAGTGCTAGATGCATCAGATCCAGCATATCACTCCACGAAGATCAAACCCCTGTGGTAAAGTGGGTGTTTGTCCAGTTCATCACAAGCAAACACTTAAAGAGCCAGAGCTATCATATGCTCGTATCATGCAGCAGGCTGTAGTTTTAAGCATATAATTTATTGCTTAGGATACCAATCTCTTAAAAACTCTTTCAGCGGTGCCTTCCCTGTGCTGAGTGATAGGAGTAATGCTTTCTTTCCCTTTATTTCTTCTGCATAAAATATAAATTCATTTGCCATTTCCAGACAGGCTACATTTCCTCACTCTTTTGAGTGGATGCCGAAAAACATCTAAACTACGCTTGAATTTGAAAAAAACGAGACACGTTTACAAATGCTCACTCATTTACCTAAGTCTTTATTGCATTGTTCAGAGTTAATTTACAACAAAATAAAGTAATTGCAGAATTCTCTTTTCCTCGTCTGCGTGGTGCAAAGCTCTGCAAATAAATATAATTAATCTTAGGAAGACATATGCCAAAAAGTATATAAACAATACAGTTGTTTTAAAATAGTTCTTTCATCCAACTGAGTCCTCCCAAAACACAATAACACAGCATAAAAATATCCTTTTTTTTATTGTTTTGACTGATGGAAAATAGGGCTCTGTGCTTGGAAGAACAACTCAGGAGACCAGCCTGTTGCCCCTTCCATTGAAACCCTTGAGTAATTTGCACGTGAGCTGAGATTCTTTCCTTCTGAAGAAGAACAGCTTTCCAGGATTGTGTCATTTAAAAACAAAGCCTTGGCAATACCTGCAGACACAGGAGTTGCTAGAACCGTGGCCCTATTCACAGAGTTGAATCTCTCACTCCTGAAGCACACATCTTTTTCACTGTTCTCTTTGCTTCCAGAAATAGGGTTCCTGTCAGCATGCTCACAGGTCAATTGTGAGTCCCAGCTCGCTGGTTTTATGCTTAAAGATGCAGTTGGTTTCAATCTCTTGTTTGCAGATGGAGTGATCCACTCCTCAAAATTGGCAGGTGACTGGCTGTTACAGAACTGCCATGGAACAGAGCTCCTACCTTCTAAGTCTTCATTGCTGCTCAGCCTTTCACGTTTCACTAGCCTGCCAGTAAGCTGCTGTAACAGAGTGTTCTGAAAGGAAGATCTAGATCGCTTGCGTTTAGAATGCGTTTTAGTGGGATTTTCAGGGGTGAGTACAGTGACAGAAGGGCTGTGTTCCCCAGCAGGCCACAGTTTTTGCAGAGGTTTTGCCACAGGAGTCGACTCTGAATATGGAACAAAGTCTTGAGCACTAAATGCGTTGCAGCCTGAATCATAAAAGGAGCACGTTACTGGTGTACTGTGCTTACGAAAAGCAAGAGGGGTTCTATGTAGGGAGGACGTCTGTTTTGAACTGTTACAGGAAACATCTCCAGGAAAAAGTACCAATTTGGGAGTTGTGACCTTTTCTGTTGAAGGATCTTCCTGTATCGAAGAGTTGCTTGACTTATTTAAGGATTCTGCAGCTTTTGCTCCCTCACCTGCATTCACATCAAAGAGATCAGCAGAAACATTGTAGCTTCCTTCAGGGCAGCTCCCATTCCATATCACCTCTTTCTTACTTATACTTTCGAAAGCATTTTCATGTAGCTCTGTCAATGGTTTTCTCTCTCTTTCATGTATCCTTCTTATATCACTGGGAGTTGCTGGACCAGAGTCCCATGTCCCTGTGAATATAAGATCTTTTCTTTGGTTTGGTGTACGAGAAGAATTTTCTTTATTTTCACTACCAGATAAACAGCTGTCATGTGCAGAATGCACACAGGTAGCTCTCTTGCTCCTTTGTATACGAGTTTCTTCATATTCAGCAGAACAAGGTGGGCTGATAAAAGAACAGGCTGACTTTGAAACTTTAGCATTTGCTTCTTTGGACTGTCTGCTTCTTTTGGAAGCAGAAGTCTCAGATGTTACTTGCAGGGACTGTGATGGAGTAAGTAGATGAGAGTGAGGTATAAAGCAAGATGCTCCACATTCCTTGTCAGCCGAAGATAAAACACTACTGAAAGAGTTGTGCTGCAACACCTCATCACTCAGAGGATTTGGACTGGCCTTTAGACAAGCAAATGATATGCTCTCCCAGCTGTCCTTCTCTGCTGATGGCAAGAACCTCCCTGACGCTTCAGGTAAGGCACCAGCTACTGGGGTTTGCCTGGGATGAGATTTGTTACAATTTATACTCAACTTGCTGCTCTCAAGGCGGCCACATTTACCTGCATTGAGATTAGGTGATGTCACAAAACTCTTATGTTCTATTCTGGCTAAAAATTCATTTAGGCTTTCTGAGAATGGGAGTTCATCCCAAAGCATTGAGTCTGTCTGAGATGCTCCAGTTAGATTTACATGATTAGAAGCTGAGATATGTCTCCCATAAAAAGGCAACTTCAGGGATTTTTCTTGGCAAGAATAATTTTCACTATTAGTCTTTGGGTAAACGATTTTTGATCGAAAGTCTAAGGGATTTTCTAACAACCAGGAACTGTTTTGAAGTGAACACTCAGTCTTTGAAGAAGAAATTCTCTCTAATTTATCAGTGGCAGAGATTCTGTCAGCTTGACTAGGCTGTGATCTTAATTCATTTTCCTCTTTATTCCCTTCCTTCACTGAAGAGCTACAAAACTGTGAATCCAAAAGAGTTTGATTGTTAAAGCTTACACTGCATGATTCTACAGACACAGACCTCCCCTCTTCTTCATGCTGTTCACTCGCCAGCTTTCCCACTTCCAGAGAGGGAAAATCTTCTGCTGTTACCCAAGCAACAGATGAAGTCAGGCTGAAGGATTGCTGCCAGGACCCTAAAAAACTTTCTCTGCCACTAGATTGAACAAAACAGGAGTTTCTGCTCAAAACAGACAAGCTGCTGAGTTCACTGACAGATTCATCTACCGGAGCTGAAGATGCATCAGGTAAGTATGGGCTGTTATTATTGTTCCCAAATTTCACAGACTGCAGGAGCCGACGGAAGTAACTGATGACAGTAAAGCCAGTAACAGCAGCATTTGGCAGGAAGATCTGGCAAGCTATAAGGTTTTTTGTACCTCTATTAATTCTGGAACAGTTTTGCAAGATGCTGCTGGCAGCAGAACATGCTCCATCTTCACTTCCATAACCCTGAGGAAGGAAAGAAAAAAAATAATAGTATAGTGCTTTGTTTTAAGACAGAAAAAATAATTAAGGCATGTCTTCTAAGTCAGGATTTAATGTAGGTCTCCCTTTTTAGTCAGAAATGCAGGGAAGGGAAGACAAAACAGTCTGTCACACAAAGCATAACTCCCTGGGAAATAAGTACTGGCAAAGGCTATAAAGGGCATCACAGTATGAGGTACTTTCCTCATTGCAATTATGCAGAATTCTGGAGCTAGAAAAATGACCGTGAATTCTAAGGAAGAACTTCACAGAAATTTTCCTCCTCCTGGTAAGGCAGTGGGGGCTCCAGGGCTTCCTCCAGAGCAGTTCTGTGCAAGTGACCACCTGCCTAATGCCTAATGCTCTTCTTTTATCTAGGAGGCACTGCACAGAACTTGAAGCAAAACATTCTGGTACCAAGTACATGACTTGGCAGCTCAGCTATCAAAGGCAGCGTGGTATTCTCTATGTGCTACCTCAACCTCTTGTATTCAAGAAGCATTTAGATGTTGTACTAAGGGACACGGTTTAGTGGGAAAATACTGGTGGTAGGTGGATGGTTGGACTGGATGATCTTGGAGGTCTTTTCCAAGCTTGGTGATTCTGTGATTCCATTAAATGGAAAAAAATGACAACCTTTTTTTCCCCTCAGGTTTATTTGGAGCAGAGTATTTCAAAGATGCAATTCCTTATATCACCTGCTGCATTCCCCAAAGATACTGCAGGTGGAAAATGACATTTAAATCAGAGAAAATTATCCAATATTTTGAGAAGGTAAACCACCTTCTACCTCTCCCTCAACAACTGGCAATGCCAGAGAAGACAAAAGCTGTCTTCAGATTCAGCCATCCTCCTACTCCCTGACTCTGTGCAGGATGCAAAGATCGAGGCTGAAGGCTGTTAACCAAGACAACACCCTCTGGTTGTAAAGCTTAAAAGTAAAACTTGCCTTAGAAGTTAATATAAATGAAAACAAAAGCAGTATATTATATTGTTTCTGATTTTTATCTGGGAGAGTGCAACTACATGCACAACTGAACATGATACAGAAATGTTATAGCCAAAGGCTGAACAAATGGTCTTAGCATAGGTGTTCAGGCCATGTGTGCAGATGAGTAGCAACAAGGTTACTGATATGCAGAATTATTTCTCATATCTTTAAAGGCATCAAACAGAGAGGCAGTGAAGAAATTTAATTTTTTAGAAATTTTTTTAGTAAGAAATTTAAGCCATAAGGTCCTCAAACTTCCACTGCATATGCATGCCATGAGGAGAATCTCAGCTCAGGCTTGTATCTATTGGAGATGAAAAACACTTGTGCCAGACAGGATTTATAATATGAACAACTCTCAAGAGCACCACTTGAAGTGAGCTTAAAATACAGTTCCCACGTAAATATTACTAACAACTAATATTTCCAAGTCTGTTAAACACATGGACAAACCATAGATGCATAACACTGAGCAGCTGTACTTTATCAGCATTTTTAGACTCTTAAATCCAGAAATGTTAAAATGCTGCGAGGGGATGTGTGTGCATTTCCCTACATTTTAGAAACCAGGAGACAATGCAGCATGGAAAAGGTGAGGCAGTGCTTACAAAGAAATCTGGTTTTTGCTTGAACTGCACATTTTGTTTCGCTTCTTTTTTTTAATATCCTGATTGCAAGCTGTTACTGACACGCACAGGAGCTGGAGTTGTAGAGTAATTCCCACACCCAGGCCCCAGTTTTCTCCTCAGAATAACAACATTCCAAGATGTTTTGTTTATGGCTCTAGCTGGATACAAGCTAATGAAAAACTCAATACAACAGAGTAACATGGATTAAAAATTACCTTCACTCCAAATATAAATCTTTTTCCAATGAAACAGGTTTCAACTGCTTGAACTAACACTCCTGGAGATGCAGCTTTGTTTGTTTCTCCTGACAGCTGATTAAAGTCTTGAATACACCTTGAGTAAAAACACACAGAGAAGTATTGCACGAGAGGAAGCCTTACATAGCAGTTCAGCTGTAGTACAGGTAGGTCTATAGGTAGCTACTGTGTTAGCATCAACTAAACAGAATGAAACAGGCAATTGTGAGCCTAAAAATTGTTCAGCTCATTTCATCTATTGCAATGAAATAAAGTAAAACTACTTTAATAGTTTATTATACATACAACTTTTGAGTGTTCCTTGTGTGTCTCCAATTTTTGTATCAGAACAACTGTACTAAGGGGCATGGTTTAATGGGAAAATATGGGTGATAGGTGGATGGTTGGACTGGATGATCTTGGAGGTCTTTTCCAACCTTTGTGATTCTATGATTCTATGATTTATGTATTACAGTGCTGTCATATATGCTGCTATTTCTTACACATCCTTTCTGCCTACACATTTACAGAGATGGCAGCATCTACATTAAGATATGCAAATAGTTTAGGTGTTCATGGTAGTGCAGCAATCTAGTGTAGAATGGCAACCATAGAAATATTTATTATATTAATATCAGAATTAAAAAGTATTCATCCTGGACCAAATAATAACAAAAATCAGTGGGAAAGAACAAGCAGTGAATGTATCTGAGTATCCTACTGCAAGTTTCACATATCAGAAAGTCTTGATAATGTGGGTGGTCAGGCTCTAACAACAAGCAGCCTTTCTTAGAAATCCCTCATTGCATAAGGAATACCTGTTTTTTTTTCCTCTAATACAACCAGCTTCACACCTTTTTCTTAATCCAAACTGTAAACCAAATCAACAAGAAACAAACAACAATAACAACCCTAAGGCTCTATAAGAGCCATAAGAGTTTTCTTCTGAAAACTTGAGGAAGAATTATGTTTATATTTCCCTGGAAAAGGCAATTTACTTTTGATGAAGAAAATTCCATCTTATCAAATCTAGGAGAGAGCATCCAAGCAAGAAGCCCAACCAATCAAACTGTGAAACTTAAGTTGTCTTCAGTAGATCAGTAGAGGATCTTTTATGTAGAAGTAATCCATCTCAAAACGTCAAGCTTTCAGGAGGAAACCAAACTTGATCACTTTCTCAAGGTGACTGGTACCTGGGAAATGCTGGCAGGGAGCACTTCAGCAGCTTCTTCCTACTCACCTCCCCATCATCCGTGTTTATCTTAAATGCTTTTCGGCTGAAGAAAAAGCAGCAGCTGTATAATTAAAAGCAATTAATTCCTTACCTCTGCAGATTTCCTGCAGTGACGCCAAAGAATGGATCTAAGCAACTTCCAAACACAGTAATGTCAAACAAATCATTTGTGTCAGCAATCTTTAGGGACAATCTGTATCTGTAGCCTGCTTCTTCAGCTTCACCTGTGCAGCCACATTTAAGACAGTTAAACCTACCAGAAGAGAGTAAAAGAATAAAAGAAGACTGAATACACGAACTTCTGTTAATCACTGCTGAGATAAAAACTTACCTGCAGTTGCAAATACTACTGAAATAATGGGTCAAATATTCCATTACAAATTTTTTTTTCCCCCTCAGTCTTTATCCTTTGAGGCATTAATATTTAATACCTAAATTCAATATCTAATTCAGTACCTAAAGGGAGCCTACAAACAAGAGGGGAATCAACTCTTTGAAAGCATTGATAACTGCAGGACAAGGGGAAATTTTTTTAAGTTGAGGGAGGAAAGATGTAGGTTGGATGTCAGAGGAAAGTTCTCTACTATGAGAGTGGTGAGGTGCTGGAACAGCTGCACAGAGAGGCTGTGGATGCCCCATCTTTAGAGGTGATCAAGGCCAGATTGGATGGGGCCCTGGGCAGCCTGGTCTGGTATTAAATGTGGAGGTTGGTGGCCCTGCATGTGGCAGGGTGGTAAGAGCTTCATGATCCTTGAGGTCCCTTCCAACCCTGGCCATTCTGTCATTCTGTGAATACTGCCATTAGCTCAGTAACGGGCCTGTGTTACTACAGAATCCCTATAGCTTCTTTTATGGATTAAATGTTAGCCTGATGTCAATTCAGAGATACAGTGGCTCAGAATGACCTCTGGGGGAGTCACTATGAATTCCTTAGCATCTGTCTCTGTTTTGTCCTCTTCTGGAATTCTTCTTTCTATAGCTTTAGCATAAAACCTAGATTTAAATAGATTACAAGGAAACAGCTCAGTTGCATGTCCACCTTCAGCATGTGAATCAATAGATATTCTTACTTTGCACAGCCAGCTCTTTTCATTTTGTGCTGATATTCACTGATTTATTTTTCCTCTATGCATCGTTAATCTGACATAACAGTGGGGAAAAAATGAAAGCTTGCATGTTTCTGGACAATAAGCAGAAGTGTCTTAGAGGACTGGACAACGCATTGAACATACAGAACAACAAGAAATAAAAGGTAGGATTTGACTTACAGAGGCTTTCAGATAATGCCTTCTAGCCTAGGGAACAGCACAGAACTGAGCTGCAGAGGATACAGTTGGAAGCTATTGACACACATCATTCATTATCCTACACTGTCTTTCAGCACTGCATGGCACTTAACACAATGGAAGTCCTGATGCATAACCATCTCCAAACTGCTGCAGGAATACAAAGAAACCCACATAGTGCTAATTTCAGATATTTATGCTACTTATCATTGATTTCTTTGATTACTCAATGATTGGTAACGTATTGTTCAGATCTGAGACTTCCCAGACCTCTCTGACTGTTAAGGACTGGAGCACCTCCCCTATGAGGACAGGCTGAAGGAGCTGGGCTTGTTCAGCCTGGAGAAAAGAAGGCTGCGGGGTGATCTCATTGCAGCATTTCAGTACCTAAAGGGAGCCTACAAACAGGAGGGGAATCAACTCTTTGAAAGGGTTGATAACTGCAGAAAGAGGGGAAATGGTTTTAAGCTGAGGGAAGGGAGATTTAGGTTGGATGTCAGGGGGAAATTCTTTACAGAGA